GGTGCGCTTCATACTGATGGCGATGCACGCACATAATGCGTGATAAACTTGTCGGTAAGTAACTTCGTGAATTCAAGTATTAGCTATTACAGATTTTATCAAAGTTTAAGAGCTAATTATGAGATCTGACCAGTAGAACTATCATATTATTTTCCCATCTGCTGCTTAAGTGAATTCAAACGTTCATTATCCATTGCAACCTTTCTTATCGATAACTTTGCCGGACTAGTTGTCTGTTTGTCATTTTCAATGTTTCATCTCGCATTGTGTCACTCTACAACTGAAATAGTTAATTGAGTTGTTACCCGTCTCGCAGAGGAAGCGCTCATTATCATGGCAGTTTTTCGCTTTCATCTTAACCTCACTTTTACGGACCAAAAAGCAGTACCACCCTGGTTTCCAGTCCTCTTTTTCTCCATATATGATATTGGTCAACGATTTCTGGTCCGCAGGACGCTCGTCACATCGATCGTACTTCTCTGTTATCCAACAGAAGCCTTTCCCTTTTTCATAGCTACGAGGTAAAAGTACTTGCCTTAATTACGTAAATACATTTTGCTGACAAAGGCAAGGAATAACGATATTAGGTTTCATCTAACAATGCAGTAACAGATCTTTAAGCATAGAGGCCAGAGGAAAGTATATCTTTGACCAAACTTTGTAACTTAGCCAGGTACCAATCATAATTGACCAGTTGGAAAAGATTCTCTATTGCATCCCAAAGACCAGATAAAGGAGCTTGCCTTTCTTGAGTATTTTTCAGTGAAGTTACCTGATAACCAGCGAATTCTGTTAATTGATGGCAATTTTCCTTCCATCCCCTGGAATGCCTCAAACATCCCTTATCTTAAGGTGGCTCGTATCGGTTTTTATCTTTTTGATGGTTTGTAACTTTGAAAGAATACAACAGAAAGACTGACCAAGGCCAGTTGAGCACTTTTACGGGGTTGAATTACATAATCATTGGTTATCCAAAAATAAGTGTCATTTCGTCCCTAGCAGTTTCCATGGCAACGCTTTCATAGGCTTATTCGGACGCATTTTTTAGCTTGTGGCTTAAATAATTCGAAAACTAACCCGGTGACTCCCTGATTTTTTTCAGTAATTGCTTTTGGCACTTGAAAAGGAAAATGCACAAAGATTTTTAAAAAATTCTACTGAGCGGAATTTCAGAAAATCTACAAAAAGGGCAATTTTCACACATCGCAAATTTCCTACCGTAGAATTTTCTAGTTTTTTTTCTGATGATTCCTTTCGACGTTATTATCATATTGGAACAATAAAAAGAAGGGGTCACCGGACTTGTTTTCATGCAATAGCTTTCGTGAGTTTAGCAATTTCCACGCGCGTTCTCGCGCATTTAAAAATCTGGATTCTATAAGATCGACATTTGCTCATGATCTGTTTTAGCTACCGCTGACAATTGCGTGTGCTCGCGCGAGCACCTACGATCTGATGTTTACAGACGTTTACTGCTAAGAAAATCATTAAACAGCCGTCAAAGACAGCCTCCCGAGCTCATCTTAAAAATCCTACACATGACTTCTGGCTATATCATATTATTTTCCTTGAAGTTTCAAAGTCTTCTTCCACTTCAGGTAGATTATCCTTCACTTGAGTTCTTCTTTTTTCGCCGTCGCAAGATTTCATATCGGTTGAATATTTCTTTTAAATGTGAAGTGAAGCAACCTTTACTTCTCCGAAAATCGTCTTCGTTATCTTAGTTTCTATCTCCTGCATTCACAGTGGCCGCTCAACACATCAAATACAAGCTCTTAGGTAAACTTCTCACAAAAGTAGAAAAAATTCCACGCGCCGCCATCTTTGTTTTGAATTTTCATCTTTTGATCTCGCGCTTCTTTCGCACGTTTCTCTCGCGCGCGTCACGCAAGAGTGACCTGTTCCCCGCGCGAGGAAACTGGTACGAGCCACCTTAAA